CCCAGATCTGAGTGATCTGGTAAAACTGAAGTTCTGTAAAACACAGAGTTCAGGATTTCCATAATCCAGAAAGGACATTCCTGAATTTGGCAGCACTAACCCCACGTTGGCATATTGAAAGTCTTTGTCTGTGCATCGTCACAGGGCCCTGATTAGGGTTCCTACATACTACTGTAATAAACTGAAGAGAAACGCTTTGCTTCACCTTCTGCATTTGCTCAAGATACAGCTTGAATACGGCCCCTAGTCCAACTCCGACCCCCCCCCCCCCAAACTCTCAAGTGGTACTTTCAACTTAAGCTAGCTGGCTCGTGGGGGGTAGGGGGATTGAAGCGCAGGTGCTGCAGGTGCTCAAACTAGTAATGAAGTGGTAATTCCCGCTGTAACCGGATCCCAACGACTCAGCAGCTGCTAAGCCGGTCACTCTGCCTGGCTCCCGAGTTGTTTCGCAAGATGGTCGCTCTCGCTGGAGTGGAGCAGCCGGAACCAACCCTTGCACTGAAGACCAGCCTTGCATCAGCATTCCCGGCTGTGAAATGCGAATCGTTAGATTGTGCAGAATGCAGTGAGACTGGAGGGGGAGGGTCTTTTCCTGTAGTAGTACAGTACCTAGTGCAACTGGGTGCTGGTCCATGCCAGGGTTCCTAGGTTCTATCCCAATGCAAACAGAGACCCTCCTCCAGTGAAAGGAGAGGGGCAGAGAACTGTTATTTTCAGGGTGGATGTTTGGTTACTGATGGAATGTAACTGTAGGGAATTTGTTCATTCCCTCTTTGCAGTTCAGATACGTTTGTTTCCCCAGTTATGGGCCCAATTCAGCTCTGTAAGGGACACGTCCCTGCTGTAAATCCCTTAAAGTGAGCACAGTTATACCAGGGATAAACTGGCCTGTACAGGTTGGACTTGAGCTCACCACTACATCACGGTGAACACCTGCCATTCAGATCAACGCTGTTAATTAGCACTTGGCAACCCTCAATGCTAATGTGTGCCAATAAGTACCTCGTCCCGGCACAGGACAGCTCAGTGGTACACAAGCAGCCAGCCTCCCAACTGGTGCTGGACAAACAGCACTGGGAAAAAAACAAATTTCACCTCTCTTGGGTTGGAAGCGCGCTGCGATTTCTCAATCCGAGATCCAGATAAGCAGGGTGAACCTCATGCTACCACCACCTTTTGCTCATACGATTGAGGGTCAGGGGCAGAAGCCAAGCCACACGGACCAGGCAGCCCATGCCAAAAGGGTGCGCTCCTACAGCGCCCAGTGGACATCTTCTAGATGGGCCCAAAGCTCTGCCGTTCTGGAAGCATGTCCTCAACAGTGAAAGAGCATGCAGAGGCCACCTCAAAGCATCTGTTCCATCTAGGCATGTCCCAGAGGCCCCAGTCCTGGCAACATGTCTGCACACGCTTAAGTGTTTGCAGAATCCTGGTTCTTGCCAGCAGTGGTTTGAGATGGTCACAGTTTTACAGGAGAGAACTTTTGAAAATGTCTTCTATTAGGATGTTATAATTGTTTTAATGTTGACGCTGCAAGGTATTTGTATCCTTGTGCGCCCTCATTTGTCCATCTCCACCTGTGGTCTCATTTGATACTTAAGATTGTCAGCTCTTTGGGGAGGTGATCGTATTTGTGTTCCGGGTTTGTACAGCACGTAGCGCCCTTGGTCCATGACGGGGGCGGTTAGTACAACACAAACAAAAATAAATACGTGACGCAGGGAAAAAACTGCAATGAGATGAGCTTCAGTGTGTATAAACTTTTAATTTTAAAATACAAGTTGAACGGCCTATGTAAGAGCAAAACAAAGTTACATAATAATCAGATCATCTCTCTCGTATACTGCTATACAAGCCATCAGAATCCACAGAGGGATGAAAGCCACTCTGCAATGAACGCTATTAGCATTGGACTTGAATCAATTCTCCCCTCCCTGGTCTCAAAATTCCTATTACATCGGGTTTGATTTTTAAAAAAGCAAGTTATCCTCGCAGGAGATCTCAGCAAGGATCCCCCCTCCCTCTCTCTCTGGCCCAGCTCCTACAGAACAGCCTGTGGAGACCACTAAGCCAGGCTGATCCCTGCGCGTTTCTTGGGGGACGTGCAGGCAGCCTCTGTCTCCATCGTACAGCCTGGCAGCGCAATATCCTCTTGGTGTAGAGAGCCACAGAGCCAGCGGGAAGGAAAAGGCCCAGCCAGAAGAGGGGGAGACGGTGCCCCGGCTGCTGCAAGATCCCCACGCACATTGCGGGGTGACAACCAGACCATACAATTCTGCAGCTCCTTGGCTCTCGCTGCTGCAGAACATCAGTGGGCCTGGTTACCCTAGTGCAGCCCTGGGAGAAGCGTCACTCACTTCAGGGTGGTGGTTCTGCATTTACAGCAGAGGGAGAGGGGAAATTCCAGCACTGAGCTGGTCCCAGCCCAGCGTCACTCCAACCAGCCCTGCCCACTCCCGCCGCTAGGGTCTGTAATGAGTCTGTGGGTTCCTCAGCGGCTCTGAAGCAGGGCTGGCTCCCATCAGGCTCCTGAAGCGGGAGGCACGTTAGAGCTAAAAACCACCCCACAACTCTGCTGAGAGGACCCTCTTCTTAATCATTGAGCCACACAGCTAATCAGTGGCTGTTTCTGGGAAGTCCCACATCCCGTTACTTTGACGGCTGGTGGTGGAAGGGAACCTTAAATTCCATCTCCTCATTGCACCCCTACAACCTCCCTTTTGAAGCTACTGCTTCACTGAGCAGCTTGCCGGTAAGAGTTCAGAGGGTGGGTCTCTGCACCATCAACAGAGCCCCGATGAGGCGTCTGCTGTCTCGGGAGACCTCCCTGGGATCCAGAGACTGGCCAGCTCTCGCGAAATGCTCTTGGCTAGTTCCCTCTCTGCACCTCCTACAGATCAGGCGGGGTTGGAGGAGAAGCAAAGCCAGGCGCAGAAGGCAGAGGCTGCCTGCAACGAAACCCACACGGGCCCTTCAGACAGAGAGTGAAACAGGACAGCCCTCAAAAGGTGCAGACTGCAACCTGGTTAGAGAAACGGTCACTCCAGCAAAGCCTTTGCAATGGGCACATTCCTACAGTCACAGAGCGTCACAGGTTCAGGCTGTTGTATGGATACAGCCACACCCATCCAGGGCTTTTTTGGGTGTGTGTGTTGGGGGGGGTGGGAGGGGATTCCCCCCAACCCCCGTGGGTGTTTTAACAAGGAATCTTTGTTTCAATTATTAAAGTACCCAGTGTGAAGAGTTCTAATTAAAACCCACAGAGACACACACACACACACACACACACACACACACACACACCACCA